AACTACGGTTTTGAGGTCATTTTGGACATCAGATGCCATTTTGACCTTGTCGGAATGATCTGCCTTACCATCGAGGCAGGAGCAAATGGTAATGTCGTCAGCGTATATGCAAAGTTGGGAGCTGATGTCTTCGAGAAGGTCGTTAATGAAAATTAAAAATAGCGTAGGACCAAGGATGGAGCCCTGGGAGACACCCGCGTTAGTACGAAAGGATGTAGATGAGTGGCCGTTCAGGACATCTTTCATTTCACGATTAGGTACGACTGGTTCAGCTCAGAAATGTGTTCGGAGATGCCGTAACTTTTCAGCTTGTGGAGAAGATTTAAATGCCAGACCCTGTCAAAGTCCTTCGAGATGTCAATGCTACAGCCCGAGCTCACCGTTTTTATCGTTAATATGTCAGCAGTTGACCTGAAAAAACCGTATTGCTTGTCTGAGAAAAGACCCTGCGATGAGAGATGATGAACCAATTCAGCATTGGTTAGGGCGTCATGGAGTTTCCCAAAAAGAGATAGAAGTCAAATAATTGAATGCATCGGACGATTCCCCAGAGTTCTTAAAAGCTGGAATGGCTGACGATGACGTCCAGGAGGCAAGAAAACAGGAGACAGAGAGGCATTTATTATACAGTTTAGAGAGAACAGGAGCCAGATCGGGAGCACAATTAATGACTATTACAGGGATACAATCGGGTTCACATGCTTTGTGGGGATCCAGGTTAGAGATAATAGCAAAAACCATGAAAGGGGTTATATGCATATCACTCAACAGAGGCTCAGTTCTAAGTGGAAAGTTAAACAGGGATACTCCACATGAGTCAAGAATAGAGTTTAAGGAGAATTTACGGGCAAAACATTCAGATTTATCAGCAGAGGATGATAACACCTCAAATCGATTGACGAGGGGGAGAATAGTGGGCTTGTATTTATTTAGTACCCTATTACACAGACACACGCACACACATACACATACACACACACACACATATATATATATATATATATATATATATAGTGAATGTATATATATATATATATATATATATGAGCTCATACTTATTTAGTACCCTATTACACACACACACATATATAGTGAGTGTATATATATATATATATATATATATATATATATATATATATAGTGAGTATATATATATATATATATATATATATATATATATATATTCTAGTCGATTTCATTTGGATTCTTTTTTTCTTTTCTTTCTATCACTTTTGTTAGTAGATATCCCAGACTGTGATAATAGAAGTTCTGCCAGGAATGGTGAAATGCTCTAAGAGCCTTGGTGCATCCGCTAGAATAAAAAGAATAAATTTAAAATTCCCAGCATCCCTGGTTCCTGCACATGCGTAGTCTCACCAATATAACAAACTTAGTCCGATGAAGTCCTAAAGGACGAAACGCGTCACAAAAAAGCTTTTTCCACTTTGTCATATTGTCATACATTTTTTTCCATATATATATTTATATATATGTGTGTGTGTGTGTGTGTGCGCGCGCGCGTGTGTGTGTGTGTGTGTGTGCCACGAAGTGTCGGATTCCCAAAGATTCCAGATTTGGTGATAACAAGATGGATTTAACGAGGTGTGTATTTGTATTATATTCGGTAATTTGGTATTCTACTTCTGGTTGTTCTGTTTTTTGTATCCGGCATTCGTGGTGGTCTACTCGTCATAAAACTTGTTTTCTTTTCCCCTTTAAAAACATTCTATCTCCAGGACAATAACTACCATTCTTCGTACAAAATATGAGTTTAAATTGATGCGGGGGGAAAGTTTCTATTTGGAGAAAGACTTACAAACGACTGAACGTTACAAAGCTAATTTTACAAATTTTTATTCGGCAGATGCGAATATTCAAAACACGACGACCAATTCAAAAAGATACGTGTAGAAAATAACCACAGAAAAATAATTCGACTATTCTTTGACTGTTTTTTTTTTTTTTTTTTTTTGTTCTTTGGCTGTAAGACTGAAAGTGAGGGAAATTGAATAAAGCGATTCTGCGTGAATTGACTGAAAATCAGAACCTGCGTCGTTTTGAGGTCTGCTCGTCATTGCTCACTGGCTGCAATAACTTTTCATTTCCGAATCGTTTCATCACATCCGGCGATAAATGATTTCTTTGACAGCCCGATGCAAACAGGTTTGCCAGGTCTCGCCTATCTCAATCCCCTTTGAGTCACTAGGGAAGCACTTCTGTCCGAGTTTGTAGGCTTAACCGTCGCGCAGAGTTGTCCACCAAAATAAAATTCACGCGATTAGCCTCGTCAAACTCTCTTTGATCCACAGCCATCTCTGCTACTGCCACCGGGGTGTGGGAGAAAGGGAATAGGGAGAGAGGATGACGATCCCGGTGTTCAAATGCGAGCGGGTGCTGACAAGACAAGGATCCTTTGCGATAACCGTAAACGCATATTATGATTAAACGAGTGTCGTTTTTCATTATTCATTTCAGGCGAGCTTACTCTGGCGGTCCGTTTTTTATCACAAGCCTGAAATCATCGTTACTTTCTACGACCTGTAAATAAACACCATAGCTCGGGATAAAAACAAAATTAAAAAAAGCAGCCGCTGACGAAATTTAAACCTGCATGCCGAATCCTTGCGACACTGTGTAACATCTGCGACAGCTCATTTGAGGGACGCGGTAGAAGATTAACAAAAATAAGACAGTTCTTCAGCGTTAGACTTACGAGATTAATCTGTTTCACCTTACTGCAGAATAGTGAGTTTGATCCTCATTGGGTACCCCATAGAATATTTTTTGTGGTCAGTAATATTTTGGACAACTGTTATAAGGCAATAATTAGTATGCAAATCTCGCGGAACATTGACAGTGGATGTATATTTGTTGGTGGAGGGGGCACTCAAAGAATTTTTTTTTATAGAAAAAAATTATAAATTTAAAATTTAGCGCAGGGAAGGTAATTCTCGTCAGCAAGTCAACAGATGAATTTTTCCGCTCAAATGTAATACAAACAGACTGTGATAGACAGATAGTGGATACACATATTTGAGTAGCGCATTTACAAAAAAATTCACAACTATCAATATAATTTTTGTCTTAGCAATTCCCTCCTGAAGATGATCTTGAATGAGATTGAAAGTACTTGGAAAAATAAAAGAAATAATCCAAACTACGGCGTCTTTCTTAATGAGTTTTGTAAAAGCACTAAGAAACTGATCTGTGAATTTGAGAGGATTAAATTAAAATAAATAGATATATGTCTAGATTATTCAACTAAATATGCCTGAATGAAGATATACTGCTACATATATGTGTGTGTATGTGTGTGTGCACATATATATGTATATATATATAAATATTTGTATACATATATGTATATAGATGTATATATATATATGTGTATATATATGTGTATATATATGTGTATATATATACATATATATATATATATATATATATAGATGTGTATATATATGTATATGTATGTATAGATGTGAACAGACTGAGATAGATAGATAGATAGATAGATAGATAGATAGATAGATAGATATGAACCAACTGAGACAGATAACTAATTAGACAGATATTGAGAGCGTTACTTTCTAAATAGATATGAAAAGGCTGGCATAGACAGTGTTATGGTGAAACATATAGTTAATAAACTCTCCCACCTAATATAAGTAGGAGTAGTAATAGAAACGTGAGTCAGTCAGTGAGTCGATGTCGGACGACAGTTAGTTGAATACGAAAGTATCAGCGACCACAACTAGATTACTCTGCGTAATACCTATTATATCAAGTTCCTAACGTTTTGTACGTCGAACCTATTTTAGGATCGATTTAGTACAAATACAAACATCCACTGCGAAATCACTCCACAGCATTTACATAGATAGATAGATAGATAGATAATAGATAGATAGATAGATAGATATGAACAAACTGAGACAGATAACTAGATAGACAGATATTAATAGTGTTACTTTCTAAACAGATATGAAAAGGCTGGCATAGATAGGCAGATTTGAATAGGCTGAGCTAGCTAGCTAGAAAGATAGACAGACAGACATCATTCTCTTTTAATCCCAACTCTTCAAATATCAGTGACCACACCCTTTGGTAATGTCAATTCTTTTCATGCTTTCCTGATTTCGGACGGCCTTCCGGTTTATGTAATTTGATCGAAAAAGTATTTTTAAAAGTTCAATGAAAGTCGGGCGCTTTCAGAATTTATTATCATCAGCGAAGTTACCATGTCATCAATACAAAAATTTATGTTCATTGTTATTTGATGACCCGTGTCTGAACAAATTCAATTTTAATACTTATTTACGCAGTACACCCTGACAGGAAACGACAATAAAAAAAATATTTCCCATTCATATATATGCCAATGTTGGGACATAGGCACTGATTAAGTCATATATCATATAATAACTGTGCTTGTTAGTTAGTTCGCATGACCTTTACGTCCTGCCAATATCTTATAATGAACTATTCCGTTTTGACCACGTGAAAAGAAGAGAAAAGACATTACTTGGTTTCAGTGAGAAAAAGAAACAAAGAAAGAAAACTAGAACTCTTTAACCTCTCCTGTCAATACCCCATATATTATGGACTATTTCGTTTTGATTGCGTGGAAAAAGAAAAATATATCAGAGACGCTACTTGGTTTCAGTGAAAGAAAGAAAGAAAGAAAGAAAGAAAGAAAGAAAGAAAGAAGATAAAAGTGTTTAACGACTGTTTCAATGAAATGGGGAAAGTCGTCAATTCCAAACCTTTTCATCTGTATCCCATTAATTTTTAAAATAGAGACCAGCATTCATATTTATGATTGTTATTACAGTATTTTGTTAAACGCGTTAAGTTCAAATATTCAACAATGTGATTTGGGAATTTCTACGGATATTTTATTGTCGTAAAACTCGCCATGATCTTATTCAATCAATAATTTAAGAATCAAGAGTCATTAGAAAATTCAAATAGGAAAACCGTGAAATTTTTTCGGGTCTTTCTAGTTTATATAACTATCGTATCTGGTTTGGTGTTTCTGTTATGTATTTAGAAATTCTTGATAAAATCCAAAGAACAATCTGCAATGTTATCGGTTCTGACCTGGCACCGACTTCAGTCACTTTATCACTACCGCTTTCAAAGTAATTATTCTGATAAGCTTTGCTCGTTGACAACTCAACTTTACGAATTTAAGTGCAGTTACAGTTGAAATGACCTTAACAATACAGGAAAGTACTTGATGACAACACCAATACTACACCAAAAAAAATAATAAACGTTCTCAAGGTCATCTATATTAAAAGCAACCAACCAACTCTCAACAAAATTTATCTCGAGTGTAGCAGCAACATAGTAAAGTGCATATAACAAAAATTTAATGCCATTTTGCAAATCTACCAATTTCCGGTCAGCTCCCTTATATTGAAATGCTTGTTTTGCAAAATAAATTCCATAACTACAGCCAATAAATTTATTTTAAAAAAAATAATTTTAACAGAGCGCGTTCATGCGTGTTTTTTTTAAAAATCACCATCACAACGAAATGCAGATTTTATCACAGTTGCAAAAGCATTGTCTTTGTAATTCACCGCTGAAGATGGCCTTGGAGGAGATCGGAAGTATATGGGTAAGAGGAAAACTATTGTGGTAAAGCAACGACTCAACTGATAATAGCAGATGGGGAAAAACGCGAGGAGGGTAACCGACAAAACAGTGTCACACGTCCAACCTTTTCACGAGCAAAAAAAAAAAACCGTGCTCAGAAACAAAAACGCGCCTGCTTTATACAGCCGAGGACCGACCATAATTTGCATGCGAATGACGAGACAACGAGATTTCGCGTTAACTGTCCGAGACCGCCGGGCATAAAACATGGGCGCCGCCATTTTGGCCCTTTTTAACCTTTTAAACGACGCACAGATTTCCGAGGTAGGCCATTTTCACAATTTTCCCCACAAGCGCCTTCCTTGTTGAATTTCATTTAATATCAAGAAACTGATTAGAGAACTCAAAAGGATCATTATAAAAATAAATAGACATATGTCTATATTATTCAATGAAACATATATGTTTGTTTTGTGGGTGTTTTGTGTGTTTTGTGTGTGTGTGTGTGTGTGTGTGTGTGTGTGTGTAGAGACAATGAATAGGTTATAAACAAAGGCTTCAAGTGAAATATAACATCGGAAGAAATACTTGGAAAACGACTTTTTCTGCTTAGATCTCGGAAATTACCTACATTTCAACAATCAGTCTAGTTTTATCATTGTTTCAAAAATAAAACTACCACTTGACCTTATAGATTGTCGCGTTACCAAGTTGGGACCGTCATGGTATTTCTTGAATCAATTGACAGTGTTTATCTTCAAGAGATATGCTACTGGTTATACTGAATTACAGGATACAAGAAGCAGTGGCTAATCATTGAGGTAGCACCTATTTCAGGAGATAGATCCATGCTTTCCCTAAAGGAATGAGCATGAAAACACGTAAACCCCTTCGACTAGCATTTTACATTCGCTCGTCGATTTTACTCTTCTTTAAAAATGAAAGGCAAAATGCCTTTTCGTTGTTGGGATAGAGACCGGTAGTTCTATAGTTTAACTCGTAGATCTACGTACACACTGAAGTATACGAATACATCGTTTATCTATCGGTTTATCGATCTATATAATCGCCCTGGCACTAGACATTTATTCGTGATTTTCCATAAACAGCATACAGGTTGAATGTCGAAACTTGTCGGAAAATATTATGTTAAAATTACAAGATTAATCAATTTTTTTCCCACCTACTGCCAGAAATAATTTTTCCACCTACTGCCAGAAATAATTTTCCCACCTACTGCCAGAAATAATTTTTCCTCCTACTGCCAGAAATAATTTTTCCACCTACTGCCAGAAATAATTTTTCCACCTACTGCCAGAAATAATTTTCCCACCTACTGCCAGAAATAATTTTTCCTCCTACTGCCAGAAATAATTTTCCCACCTACTGCCAGAAATAATTTTTCCTCCTGTCAGAAAATAATTTTCCACCTACTGCCAGAAATAATTTTCCCACCTACTGCCAGAAATAATTTTTCCACCTACTGCCAGAAATAATTTTTCCACCTACTGCCAGAAATAATTTTCCCATCTACTGCCAGAAATAATTTTCCCACCTACTGCCAGAAATAATTTTTCCACCTACTGCCAGAAATAATTTTCCCATCTACTGCCAGAAATAATTAATTTATTAGCGCCAAATTCTAGACTATCATAAAAGTCAGCGGGCAGAGGTTAGAAAAATTGGAAGCTTGTCTATCCATATGAAATTTAAATGTAAAAATGCAACTTTGGTTTGAACTTGAACTTTCCTACCTATATTTAAATTAAACTTAAAATTAAAATTTAAAATGTCGTGTCTCTACAACTTCAGTGTTTCTTCTCGTTGCATAATTATAATCGATATTTTTGGCAGTAGTGTAGCTAGAAAAATTTTTTTTTGATTCGTAGAAAATATTTATGAATTTAAAATATAGCAGTTTTGAACGCCGATTTCACGATAGGCAACATCCCTGCTTTTAAAACTGGAGCATCAATATCTTCCTAATTTAACAGCATGCTTTCTTATATATCTACTAGCCATTTTTATGGTTTTTTCCCTCAGGTTGCATAAAAATTTATCGGACAAAAATGCCAAAACCTTAAGTTATTCCAATAATTATGCAAAAATGTTATACCTAGATTTTTATATATATTACAACAACGTTGGGTAATTAAATGACATAACATATACATCATCCCGTCATTGCGAACATCATTTTGGTCTGATGATTGAATAATGATAGTAATAAATTAATTATTGAATATGCTCATGGCGAGTTCTACGACAATAATATATCCGTAGAAATTCCCCTGCCACATTGTTAAATATTTGAGCGTAACAACCTTAACAAAATATTGCAATAATAATCCTAAATATGTGAATGCTGGTCCTTGTTTTAAAAATGGGTACAAATGAAAAGATTTGAAATTGACGACTTTTTACATTTCAGTGAAACATTTGTTAAGTACTTCTTTCTTTCTTTCTTTCTTTCTTTTTTTCTTTCTTTCTTTCTTTCATTCATTTTCTCATCGAAAGCAAACATCCTCTATGAAATGTCTTTTCAGTTTTTCCACGCGATCAAAACGGAATAGCCCATTATTTATTAAGTACTAGCAGGAGACATTAAACACTTCTTACTTCCATTCTTTCTCTCTCTCTCTCTCTCTCTCTCTCTCTCTCTCTCTCTCTCTCTCTCTCTCTCTCTCTCTCTCTCTCAGTATCGTCTCTTCTATGGCTTCTCCATTTTTTTCCACGCGATCAAAACGGAACAGTCCATTATCTATGAGGTATTCACTGGGCCTTTCATTCTTTCTTCCTTTCTTCCTTTCTTCCTTTCTTTCTTTCTTTCTTTCTTTCTTTCTTTCTTTCTCTCTCTCTCTTTCTCTCTCTCTCTCTTTCTCTCTCTCTCTCTCTTTCTCTCTCTCTCTCTCTCTCTCTGAAATGTCATTCCGTCATTCCAGGCGATCAAAATGGAACCCGCCATTTTTTATGAGACATTAAGCATGTATATCTTCCCTTGTTTCTGTTTTTCTTTCTTTCTTTTTCTTACTGAAACCAAGAGGCGTCTCTGATATTTCTTTTCTGGCTTTCCACATGATCAAAACAAATCACCCATTATTTATTAGGGATGATTAACAACGGTCTATCAATGGCAGCCATCAGCAATTCTGGTATAGTCATACTTGTTCATTGTTTGACGTTGTCCAACCAGTTTTTACGTTGTCGTCCTCTCTTACGTCCACCTTCAACGGTGCCTTGCATAATGGTCATGCACAGGTTGCTGTGCCTTGTAATGTAGCCAAACCACACCATTTATCCCCGTTTGACAGTAGCGAGAAGAAGCTCCTGGTGCCCCAAAAAACTTTAAACCCTTTTCCGTACAAATTCATTTGTTATATGTTTCCAATAGAATATTCCAAATAGTTTTCTCATGTATTTGTTCTCAAACAAGTAAAAAAAGGTTCATGAAAGACCTGGTTTATTCGTTTATTGTACTTACTCAATTCATTTTCTATCTATGTGCAGGCGGTTAGCTCCCACTATATGTTCTGATTTTTTTCTAACATATTTCTCCAAAAAATCAAATAAAGCTTTCCTAACAGTTCAAATAGATCTTCATGTAGTATTTTATCAAGTGATTTTGTGTAATCTAGAAAACGTAAATGTGCATCCTTCTACATTTGTATTTTTCTCTCCAATAGTATTCTGATCATAAATATTGCACATATCTCGTTCCAGTTTCCTTAAAAAAAAAGATTAATCTGTACAATGTTTAAAGTTCCTCTTCGAGAAACAATTGTTCTTTCGCAGACAAAAATTGAGATAAACTTAATTCAGTCACTATGACTGTGCTTGACCTATGACCTTATAATTTACTATAGAGCAGGACTTCTTTACCTGGGATTCACGAACCCTTAGGTGGTTCATGAATAGGTTTCAGGGAGTCCGTGATGATCAGATAAAAATTAACATTTATATTCGCTACACCTCCATTGCTCCAATCAACGGTTTCCCATTGAAAGAAATAAAAGAAAATGCAGCCTGTCACTGCTCGAAATAAACCGAACCCAGTCACTACTTACAGTGCCGACCGCTAGGCGTCTGTTGACTTACTGTTGGGTCCCTGTTTATCATTTAAACGTATGTCATCATTTTCTGCACGGCCGGGAATGGAACTCGGCTCTCCAATTATTAATTCCGAGCAATTATCCATTACACCACCCGCACATCCAACCTCACAACACCTGGTATTCCCATAAAAAATGCCTTCTTCTTGAAGGGCTCTTAAATTTTTAAGTGACAGCGCCAATCTTAAATAAATCTTTCTGTAAAAGACCATAGCGAGGTTCTCAAGTTTTTCTTGTCTTCTACTTGTGAAAACCTTGAAACATATCCTGTCCAGAATGGCCCATTCTTTATCTCTATTATTTATTTTGTAATTAACTGCAAATTATACTTTAGATTTGTTTACTTCTAACAATTGAAAAATAAATCGAAAATATAATTTCCAATCAGATGTAGGCTAGTTAACAAAGATAAGGGACGGGCTCTTTCGAACAATTTATCTTTGAAGGCTTTCACAATTAGAATATAAGAGAAACTTTAAACCACCGCTGTCATCTTTACAAAAAAATTATTCAGCTTTGGGTCAAACTACTATTGTTGGGACCGCAATCAGGTTAAAGAGCACAAACAAAGAAAGCATTCTTTCTTTTTTTTCTTTTTTTTCTTTTTCTATCGCTATTTCCATGGTAAGTGTTGTGGCTTTGTTAGGGCCAGAAATAAACACACAAAGAGAGGAATTGAGTTAAACAAATACATAAACAGAAACAGTAATACAAACATATACAAACAAGAGTGTTACAGCAAGAATGTTCGGTCCGACTGTCAGAGCTGACTGCTGGAAACTTCCCTCTCCCAAAAAGGCAGTTCCTGCTCCTATTTATAGCTGGGAGAGCCCACGTGTACGTGAGTAAATTACCATAACAGTAAGAGTTCAGACGAACTACATTCTTTAGTTTCACCAGTTCTAACCTTCACGATTAAGACCTACTTGCCACCTTCATCCCTTTCGTATTCCACTGGTGAGATGTAAGTTCTACTCGAGTAGCTTCTTCCCGCGAACCGATGCTTTGTGTAACCGATACACAGGAGGCTGCTTCCCCGATTACTATGATCTCAACCTGTTCAAGTCTAGGGTTAACAGTTACCTTCCCAGCATATCCCAATAAACTATACCTCATACTCTGTAATCATCTACTTCGAGTGGCTCTTAGGTCTTGTATCGGGTGAACGACAGTGTAAAAAAAAAACGAAAAAAAGAAACAAACACAATTCCACCTACGTTTGTTAGCATATCACAGGGTTGATCTATTAAATTTAATCTGTATCTATTTTGTTACTTGCCGCTCTGCAAATCAAGAACGTATGTTTGTCGAGATGAGATATTCACTAACTGTCCCACGCGGCCGGATGCTGCACAAGGACAACTTTATTGTGAGGTATCCGAGCCCGTAGGCTCGGGCAAAATTCCCCGTAGACCCCGTAAACACGGGGTCAGGTAGCTGTCTACCACCCCAGACAAGACTCTGCCCTTCGGCACAGCCTCGTCTGGGTTCCTCTCTGCCTGGAGCAGAGAGTTTGGGAAGGACACTACCGTGTGTTTGTCGAGTGATTCTCTTGTCATTTCCCACCTCTGCTACATGCATTTTGCACTGAAAAATTCCTCACCAGGATATATTTCCACATTTTAAACAGAGTTTGAAATCCCAAACAAAAACGTATTAAATTGTTTCTTTTCAATTCAAGATGGAGCGGTTCGGTCAGACACCCTTTAGAGTGTGTTCTACCAGTGTTTATTTTGGGGATAGAAAAAGTTCTAGCTTCTTTCCATATTAGAGGATCTACTGAAATTTGATACTGAGTAATACTCAATAGTCGACTGAACCTGTTCCATATCAGAGGACCTAATGAAATTTGATACTGAGTAATACTCAATAGTCGACTGAACCTGTTCATTAGCAGTTGCCAACCGTAACGCAAAATGCGGGATTGCCTTGCACTTTGATGCTGAAGGACGTGTTCAGCTTTTAATTGCTGCGGGACACGTTTTTATCCAACATTTTGAAAATTGATGATTCTTTTTATAAATTCCGCATAAACTTTGCTTTTTTTTGTTTTAGAAGAAAAGTATTTTTTCCTAAATTGCTGTGCCAGCATTTGTTTGGTATTTTATTCCAAGGAAAATAAAAGTTGTTGATCTTGAATACGTACATCAATCAATAAGTTACGCGCTTAGGTATCATGTCTCTTTCGATTTTTAAGACAAGCTGTGTTTTTTTTTTGTTTTTTTGTTTTTTCTGAATTACTGTGCCAACTTTTGTTTGATATTTTATTGCAAGGAATATGTAAAGTTGTTGATTTTGAATGCGTACATCAGTCAATCAGTTACGCGTCATACGTGATACACGTTTGGGTATGATGTCTCTTTCGATTTTTAAGACAAGCTGGTTTTTTGCTGAATTGCTGTGCCAACTTTTGTTCGATATTTTATTGCAAGGAATATGTAAAGTTGTTGATCTTGAATGTGTACGCACCAATCTGAAAAACAAACATTAAAGATGCATCGAATGTTACAGTTTTTTTTTAATTTTATTTTCTTAAAATACATTTCTTTTCAAACTAAAATTCTAATTGAACTGTTGTGTTACATGCTTTTATATTGTCTTTCTTAAAATACATTTCTTTTCAAACTAAAATTCTAATTGAACTGTTGTGTTACATGCTTTTATATTGTCTTTCTTAAAATACAATTCTTTTCAAATTAAAATTCTAACTGAACTCTACATCTGTTTCGTGACTCAACGAACAAACGTTGTCACTTCTATGATGCCAACGAATACTCGTTGTCACTTTCGTAATGCTCATTGTAGTAGAAACTTTGTAATCACAGATACAACTATAGTAACGCCGTTGAACAATACTGGTGTCAAACGCCTTCGGATATCACTCGCACTAATTATACTTGCTTGATAATACTCGCTCGAATAGTAACCACCGAAGAATGACCCGAAAAGAGAAATGGTATAGTGAATAGAGTAGAGAATAGCGGTCCGTATAAAATAGAATAACAATCAATTAAACACGCGCTACCTATCACATATGCGTTTCCTCTATGGTCACGTGATCTGCTTAATTCAATAATGGGATCGTCTGTGTTTGCTCACTGGCGATCTATGTTCAAACTCAAGTGTCGGCAGCGACACTTTATTCCTGTAAAAAAAATCCGACAGCAGGGCCTCTGATCGGGAGATTGGAGGTTTTGGGGAGAGTAGAACCACCTCTTAATTGCTGTTGTTCCAAGTCAACCCTTACCCGGGGTGATGGCACCTGTTAGGGTCTCATCTGTGGGCAAATAGTGACCCCCCAAACAAAACACTCTGAAAGTATAAAAATACCAGCAATACATTTTTATATAAAAAAAATTACCAACAATACGTACATACTAACAAAATGTAGCAAATCCGTTTAAAATGCGACCAAATAACCAACATGAAAGAACTTTTATGATATTAAGCTATATAATATCCTAATCCATTAATCCATATAATATCCTAATCCATATAATATCCTATAATTTCTTAAATCAAACTGTATTCCAAAATATAACTTCAATAAAACTACAACATAAAACATATATCAATGCCTCGAATAATTATGTCAACGCAAACATATATATGTACAAAAGCTGAGTATTATGTACCATGTACTCAACTGTGAAAGCGGAATAATATTTTTATTACTTCCAAGTTCACAAGAAAATTTAATTTCGCCATTAAATGACCCATAAGTAGTTGATATGCCGTTAAACGGTCAAATCAATCAATCAATCAAATAATTGGACTGTTATTTTGCACTGACCGTATAGCATTCTTAATGATAATCTGTTAAATATGAATTCTTATCGCTCAAGAATTCCAAACTTATTTAACCAGAGTTTGTAGGCCCATGGCCCTTTATTAGAAACCCGTCATAAAGGAGAGGAAGGACCTGTAGGTTGCAAACCTATCCATGGAGCCCACGGAACCTGTGGAGAGTCATGATCGTATAAGTCCTAAAGGAACAGGACTTTAAAAATGTACAATAAATAATATAAATTACTTTGCCACTCAAATTTAAAATATATATATATATTTATTAATAAACAAAAACTAAAACAAATTCTGTTTATTTTTAGACATTTCTTTTATCTTCATATTCATATATTGGCCGGGTGGTAGTGGTGGGGATGGTAGATTAGAATCCTAGTTTACTCACGCGGAATATATAAACATTTTTAAATTAAAAATTATCGAGCTATACATTTTTTGAGGATATATGGGTAGCTTTACAGTTAAGCGATACGGACAAGGAAGGCGACCGCCAATTTCCTTGCGTTTGCTTTCACACAAAAAATCTTGAGAAGTGGGAGAGAATGGATCAATTTTTTCTCTCCTCACCACCAGTATAGGTTTAGTAATATGGTAGACTCTTTTGCCTTGGATGGTAACCAGTCATCTTTGAATTCACACCCAGCCTGAACAAAAAGGGGCTCTCTCAGTCTACCTTGCACAGACTCATTACTGCTACAACTACAGTACATGTGATGCCCCAACGAACCTGATAGGTTGCAGGATTCTTGGATCATGCGTATATTTTTCTCCTGTTCCTTTACAAATAATTTTCTTAAAAATCTATTTAAGAAATGGAAAATACTTGTTTCTGTGATTTTCCCTAAGCTGCCATGTTGCCGCTTTCAATACCGGGATTAACTTTCTTTTTAATGGGTTTAAATAATCCCAATTTAAAAGTTGGACTGTAACGAACGGAGTGGGGGTCCCATGTTTTGAAAGTCTGCTGTGACTCAAGTTCACTCAATATCTCAAGGTGTACTCGTATATACAATCCATTGATAAAGTTATACTCCTTGTTTGAATATCTGATTTGTTGATTCTGTCGCCCCAAGAAATATCTGACTCCTTCTATTATGCTTTGACATTACAAGAGTCTGATTAGACAGAAAATGGTGTATAACTGCCATATTTGGATTGGAGCTATTCTAATTTTACCGCTGGTGTTGTGATTAAAAAAAAAAAAAACTTATTTTGCCCTCTGAAGCCTCTTTCCCTCAAATGGAACGTCGCACGCTCATCACAGCTCATTCGATCGCTATATCCATGGCAAATGTTCAGATGAGTTCCATTCCTATGTTCCATCGGTTCAGAGATTTACAGCTAAGACACACCAGACTACTTCCACGGAATCGAATCACCCTCATTTCTCCTGTGTTCCACTCAGCTTCTTCCCAAGAACTTTTACTTCGTTAAACAGAATCCCGTGTGGAACACTACACTCTTAAACTCTTCAAGTCAATCCTTATTTATCCTCTTTCATACTCTTCACTTCCTATCACCTTCCCTTTCATTTATATCACACACCTCATTCATCCATTTTAATGGTAACCCTCAACCATGAGTCACTATAAGCCTAGTGCTATACGTGATAAACGCTTGGGCAATCATATCTCTTTCTATACATGACTGACTGTGTAAAAGATTTCCCGCTGGAGGCCGCCGTTTCTTTCTGCAGTAGACTTGTTGCCAAAAGTCTGTCTTGTTATTCAAACCATAGGTGGAGCGAGAAGATACCTTTCCCAAGGGTGTATGTGCGTAAGTGAATGTAGCAAACTCGACTGGAATTCGAACTCGGCTCTTCGATTTCTCACTCCGAGCTGTTACATATTACATCCTTCGTACATTCAAATACGTCAGTATAATAATAATAATAATAATAATAATAATAATAATAATAATAAAACTAATTCAGACATGATTCAAATTTAACAGTCGGGGATTTCGAGAAAAAGACCAGTTCAATCAAACTTCAGAATCCACAAATTATATTTTAAATAGAAGTACTCATGGAACTTAAATTTAAAATTTTTAAATTTTCTAACGAATCTTAATTCTTAAGTTAATAACTGGATAAGTTCCTTGTCAGTCCCATAATGGCAACCATAAATATGAATGCAGGTTATTATTTAAAGAAGAGGGTACAAATGACAATATTTGATAGTGACAAGTTTTTCCTTTTCACTGAGGCAGACGTTAAACACATGAGTGTTATTGTCCTCTTTATCTTCACCTTCTTTCTTTTTCCGTTTTTACTTTCCTTCTTTTTTCTTTTTTATTTACTTTCTTGGCTTCATTTCTCTTCATTTCTTTTTTTTTTTCCTCGTTTTCTTTTCTGTTCTTGGTTTCTGTTTTCTTTAAAGGAGGTAAGATGGTACAATTTTCTTTCTTTCTTTTACTCATTGAAACAAAACAGCGTCTCTGATATGTGTTTGTCATCTTTCCTCACGATCAAAATGGTGTAGTCTCTTATTTATGAAATAATGGCAGGGCGTAAAAGTACGTAGTGACTAATTAAGGATAAAAAGACAAGTAGAACTATATGTTACGAAATGTGAGAAAGTAAGAAAATAAAAATGGAGGCTGAAAGAGAAAAGTTGCAGAAAAATGGTATTTTGCAAGACAACTTAGAAGCCGTGCCCGGATAATGGACAATAATAGTTTCTTGTCTAGTTTGAATTTCGTATGAAATAATAATTTTCATTGCTGTTTTGGGAAAATAAAGTTCTTAATTCAGCAGTATGAGTTCGTTGTCGGGTTTTCTTCCTTTGAGTAATTGGTATGTTGTAGGCAGTTCTGTTAGTTAGATAGATATGAACAGACCGAGATAGATAGATAGATAGATAGATAGATAGATAGATAGATAGATAGATATGAACAAAATGAGATAGATAGATAGATAGATAGATAGATAGATAGATAGATAGATATGAACAGAATGAGATAGATAGATAGATAGATAGATATGAACAGAATGAGATATGAACAGATAGATAGATAGATAGATAGATAGATAGATATGAACAAATAGATAGATAGATAGATAGATAGATAGATAGATAGATAGATAGATATGAATACAATCTATCTATCTATCTAATTGTATTTCTGTTACTTTATTCCCATGGCATCAAGTATTTTTCGAATCATTTGAGGGGAGTTTACTTCACGTGGTCCAGGAATAAAAGAGAAACAGATTCTGAAATAGATGTAAATATCGCCAACGATTATATATTTTTGAACTCTAGTCATTTTGTTGAGTTTGGACAATACACATTTTTTTATTTATAAATCTTTTGAAGGTAATCAAAATAAGTGATACAACTTTAGCAATATAATATATGACAGTATATTAGGGCAGGGTTGATTTGCTAGATTTGTAAAAAAAATCAATATCACACCCAGCGCGAAAACTGGAGTTTAAATAGATAAGTACTGACACCAAAAAATAGATCTATATCTTTTACAAATTTTTGAGCATTTAGGTTTAAATATCGTCTGAAATATGAACAGAAATACTTAACTTCCGCAGGTTTTTGCTTACAAACTAACTTCAAAATTTTACTATTTCAAGGATAAATCCAAATAAAGTTGATATCTTTTGTATTAGATACACTGAATGGAAAATATATACAAAACAGAATTCTAATCATGAATCACCACAATCAAAATATACATTTCTTACTGTATTCGGTAAGTTAAAACTGTGTAAAAAAAAACTAGTAAAAGATTACAAAAATGGCTACTAAATTAATAAGATTTGTTAGATGATGATTTAATAAAAACAAAAAAAAAGGTAAAAGAGTATAGAATACCATAGTACTAGGTATTTACTCTGTCTCCCCATTAAGACGAGTTGTGACACAGGGTATTCTTTTTAAGGTGGGGACCCGAGCGGGTACACTCGGGCCAGGAACATAAATTGCCTGCAGCCCCCGCAACCGTCGGTTGTGCTGGCCTCGGTGCGAGCACAGATCCCTCTCTCTGGTGCAATGAGATGGCGCGGCCTCAGGCAACTGTTCCCTAAGACTGGGTACCTCTCAGTATAATTTTTCTCAGTTGCGATTCTGTCCTTTGACAGAGTCGCCCCTGAGTGCACTGACGCAACTGAGAGATGATAAATAGATGTCTTACAAACCCCTTAAGGGAAGGATTTACACACTAACACCATAGTACTACTGGGCACATATTATAAGACAAAATGTTTTAAATTTGCATTGCTTATTGAAAATTCACACTAAAACTACTGCACTGTATAACATATGACATCATAATATAGTTAAATTGTTCGGTATACCTTTCCTTTCAAGTAAATGAAGGTTTTATTTGATGAAATATTGGTTTAATAATAATGTGCTTGTGCCATGTATCTTGTCCAGATACAATTTGTAGAGTTTCAGTTAATTATAAATTTTATAAGACTTTCACTGTTCATTGGAATTAAATTCCAATGCTACGATTTTGAAGCTAAACTGCTGGGCACAAATTATACGACAAAATGTTTTAAATTTGCATTGTTTATTGAAAATCACACTAAAACTACTAAATATAACATACTAGCAGTAGAGCCCGGCGTTGCCCGGGGATGTAACAGTAAGAGATAGATCAAGTATCGACCATCATAAAGACTGAAAAATAAAATTGACAAAGATTATTGTTTAAGGTTGACAGACACGCATGTCTTAATTATTTTTTTTTGTTTCGTTGTTTTTTTTTTACGAATTGGTCAATCAACATTGTTTTCAATCGTTATGAGTCTACCGATTGAATAGAATTTTATTATAAACAATTGTCTTGTGAACGGAATTTTTAAAGCATTCTGAATGTAAAAATAAATTTTTAAAAAAAGTGTGCAAGACAATAAGAAACACTACCTGCCAAAAAAAAGTGAAGTTTTGTTGAAATCGGTTGAAAAATGTAGGAAATCCGATCCCATATATAAACGAACACACACACACACAACCTGGGTTTTATAAAAAGTATAACTCGATATGAGTTGTCCCCCTTTCATTCTAGCGACAGAATTGTGTTTTATTGTGTTTTCAAATTGATTTCGTGTAAAAACAATTGTGTTTTTCCAATTTTTGGCGCTGTCAGAACCACCGCAAGGTAATTTTACGTAGTCCTGTGAAGCTTTGTTGAAATCGATTGAAAAATGTAGGAAATCCGATCCAATATATAAACGTACAGACGCACGCACACACACACACACACACACACACACACACACACACACACAACCTGGGTTTTATAATAAGTATGATTACATAATAATATAGTTAAATTGTTCAGTACAATTTCCCTTTGAAGTAAATGAAGGTTTTATTTGATGACACATTGGTTTAATAATAACGTGCTTGTGCTATGTATCTTGTCCAGATACAATTTGTAAAGTTTTAGTAAATTATAAATTTTATAAGTCTGTGTTATAAGGTTTTCACTGATGACGGGAACGAAATTCTAATGCTACGATTTTGAACATCAACTGAATCTTTAAACTCGTCTACTCAAAAGCGGTTATATTTTATTTATAATGCCAAACCACAGATTTCAAATTGATTGCAATACCACGGCATTGCAGCTGTTTATAACTTAACTTTAGAAAAGCCATCTCTTCTCGCAGTTATGGGTAAATAGCAGAACAAACCGGGTCCTATAGCCTTGGGTGGCATAGGTGTTGTTTTTTGGTCTGGTTTTTACTTCTTCTAGATCAGTTGCCAGCCTTGGCTGGCAACTGGTCTAGGAGAAGTAAAAACTCTGAATTCAAACCAGCCTTGAGAGGGTTTGGCTCCATCAATCTGTCTTGCCTAAGATACACTTCAAAGCGTTTTGTTATCAAATCTTGAATGGGTAAAATTATAAAAAGAATTCTTATGAACGCTATAGTATCACCAGTATTTTATAAATTCTAACTGAAAATAGCACTGACGGCACAGGAAAAAGAACTATCATGATATGCACACTAAAACATCCAGCAGTTGTAATTCGCCCATAAAAGTTTAGTCAAAATGTACCCTGTGTTAGAGTTTGTTTTACATCAAAACCTGCAGGATTTTACTCAAAAGGTATCGAAGAGCTGCCTGATAAGTAACAACAAGTTATTGCAAATAATGGTGAATATATAACTAGATAAAATGAAAATATACTTTTATTTTTTGAAGACTAAATTTGGTAAGCAAAAACAGAAATTATTTATGACTCAACCTAATATTATTATAGAATTCTTTGGGAAGCGTTATGTACAATAAGAAAAAAAAGCCTAAAGTCAGTGCACTGACAAGGATAAATCTCTACAATTAACCCCCAAGAGCTAACTGCCATGAAAGACTATTGGGATCTTATTCATTTAGTGTTCTTACAATGCAATGTAACAATCAATGCACATTTGCACATTCAGCAATATGTCCATAAAAGTCTAGTTAAAACAAACCCTGTGTTAGTCAATAGGAAGATGTTCTTCTCCTCAATTTGACAATAGAAGAATGCATGAAGTAGAAATAAGACAGAGAAAACTTATGGAACTCGGTTGGTCTGTTCCACCCTAACTGTCACATTCACCTAACCTTACACCAACCGATTAGTATGATTTTTTGATCACTGCAAAACACTTTGATGGCGAAAACTTTCTCCGGTGAAAACTAGATTCAAGATTTTGTTTTACATGAAAACCTGTGGAATTTTACTCGAAACGTTCTGAAGAGCTGCTTGATAAGTAGCAAATAACAGTGAATATATACCTGGATAAAATTGAAATGTACTTTTTTTTTTTTTGAAGAATAATGTCAATAAACCAAAACGTAAATTATTTATAGTCCTGTGTATGACAAACTACATCCAGCAGCAAGGCCTCTGAGGTTTTGAGGGGTGTGGAACCATCTGTTAATTGCTGTCGTTCCCAGATCCACTCTGACTCAGGGTGGTAGCCCCTCTTAGGGTCCTAGTTATGGTCAAATAGGTAACACCCAAACAAAAGCAAAACAATACGAAAGTATAAATATGCATTTTTATATTAAAAATACCAGCAATACACTTTTTATTAAAAAAAAAACAATATATTTTATCTCTCGTTTCAGGGAGGTCCCATGTTTTGAAAGTCTACTGTGACTCAAGTTCACTCAATACCTCAAGTTGTACTCGTATATACAACCCATTGCTAAAGTTATACTCCTTGTTTGAATATCTGATTTGATATCTGTCGCAGATGTTACACAGTGTCGCAAGGATTCGGCATGCAGGTTTAAATTTCGTCAGCGGCTGCTTTTTTTAATTTTGTTTTTATCCCGAACTATGGTGTTTATCCCTAAAATTGTGTTCAAAATATTTAGATTTCGATATTAAATAACCCATAGATATTGATATGCCACAAAATGAAATAATCACTCAATCAACCAACAAAAAATGTAAATTAATTATAACCCATTCTAATAGAATGCTGCTGACATTGAATTTGAGTTACATTGGTAATTCATCCTTGTCTCACTATGACTATCAAATGTTAGTGACTCTTTTCACATCAAAACCTGCAGAATTTTTACTCAAATTTGACGAGCTATTTGATAAGTGACAACAAGTCTTTGCAGATAATGAGGAATAAATAATTGAATAAAATTTAATTGCACTTTATTTTTGAAAGATAAAGTCCATAAACAAAACCGTAAATTGTTTATTACTTTATATAATTATAATTTCAAGTTGGTAATGTTTACTATGTAATTTGGATCGTGTATTGTTGATTTTATCACCAAACACAATTTCCCCATACCATACACTGAATTACCTCCCTTACATTTCACCCTCATTTCTTTATCTAACGTCATATACCGAACCTTCCTTGGGGCACATCGAGGTGGTGTAATGGTTAGCAAGCTTGTCTCGCTAGAACTATTACGGTTGAGTAGTGAGTTCGATTCTCACTGGGCGCCCCCTAAATTCAGCCTTGTGCCACATCTAAGCTATGCTTAGAAAATCACTATACCGAACCTTCCTTTGTATTTGAATATAACCAAATTGTAGAATCTCTTAAAAAACCAAAAGAAAAACTTGAAACCAATGCCCAGATTTATTCCGGTCATATATGAAGGAATTTGTGATGGGAAAATATTCCGAGAAGTCAAAACAAGGACAATTTTATTGCTTCTGTGAGCATATCGGTCTCAAATATCATCCGATATATATATTGGAATTTATCCTGGCTTTTTATTTGTTTTTGTTTTTCATGGAATTTAAAGAGTTGTAATATAGTTAAAAATGAATCATATCGTATTACGGGCGCTATTTTCACAATATTTCGTTTTATTTACATTCCATATCCAAAAAAAAGAATAAAAAATACTAAGAGAAGGAAATTTAAGGGAAATGTCAGTGTTTTGTATGCATAAATGGTTTGGGACGATAAATTCAAGAAGATTAAAAAATCATATTAGAAAAACTCGAAACAGCGTTCTCGAAGTATGTCAAAAGATTAGATTTGAAAGAAAGAAGTTTGGTTTAGATATAGTTAAATTCCGTGGGAGAAGTTACTAATAATGAGAAGCATCGGTGTGAGATAACAGCAGTCTAGTTTGGCCAGCCAGTCCTCGCCGGGTGTCCATATACTACTGGCCTTGTTCCAAACAAAGCTTAGTAAATATGTCTCGACATGGAATAATGGCTTTCAGCTAGTCTAGTTGATCAACTACATGATGAGTCCGATCCTCACAGATTGCTCCATAAGTGTTGCCTTGTGCCATACATAGTTAAGCGTATTAAACATTGGAGGCCTTTTGTGAAGAAGAACGAGAACAGACCTCGGTGATCCTAAAACTGATTAAATGCCTGTTGGCGCTTTTAGGGTAGATCTAGCTCAATACGCAAAAGTATGGAAGAGATGAGGGATACATTTAGTCCCAGAGCCGCAGAAAGATAATCCGCGGGCTATAGGTAGTCCGCAGGCAGCGTGTAGATAGTCCGTGGGTCGCAGAAAGATAGTCCGCGTGTTTGATCGCGTGTTTGAAACCCCTGAACTAAATTGTGCTTAGCAGACAATAACAATTAACAAGCTGTTCCTATTGAGCAATCAGTTAGATCCTCGTAATTAGAGCATTTTGCCTAGAGTTACACTTAATTGCAAGCAGGTCTGACAGATAATTTGTCGACAACTGAATTGGACATATTACTTAGTAAGTTGAATAGACATGACGCCACAATATAAACATGGAGGAAGAAAGGGGGTATAAGATGGTATAAGCAGGGGGGAGCTAGATCGCGATATATAAATTTTCAAGATTCCTGAATCTATATTTTCATATCTAATCTTTTCATAAAATGAACCGTTTTAGATGAATTATCTTTCTGTATAAGATGCGCGGGTGGTGCAATAGATAGCGACTAGAAATGAAAAATCCGAGAGCTGATTTCGAATTCCAGTAGAGTTCATTATATCCACTTACACGTAAATACTGCGGGGGAAATGTATGAATCCATCTCTTTCCCCTCCCTCAGTTATGGGTTAAATAGTAGAACGTGTATCTAGAAAAATTATTGCAATTGCAATAGTCACTCGCAAAGGAAAAGAATTATTCCAAAAATTCGAAATGTATTTCGGCTTTAAATGACCCACAAAGCCGTAAAAAGCAAATGTCATTTACTAACAGAGGAAGTGCTATCTCTGTGTGAATTTCTTGGATGTGGAGTTTTCATTATTTATGTTGTAACCTAGGGAAGGTTACTGAATAGAATAGAATAATCAAATGAAAGTTGGTAATGAACGACAATACTTAGGACAAGAACAACACATATAAGATTCGCCAGTGACGCGTAGAAGTAGTCAACTGCTAGAATGAGTCAAGTGAATTCCACCATGAATCTCCAACTGTAGGGTATCTACCAACCGCCACACACACAGGGCCGAATTTAATGCGGGGTATCTGAGCCCGTAGGCTCGGCCAAAAATTCCCCATAGACCCCCTATAAAACAGGATCGAGTAGCTGTTTTCTGAGATGAGACTCTGCCTTCCGACATAGGCTCGTCTAGGGACCCTCTCGGCTTGGAGGCAGAGAGTTTGACCAGCACAGCTGGAGACGAATCTCCAACTGCAGACCAACATACAGTATTTACTACTGTATTTATGTGAATGGTGACATACCCATTATCGTCCGTAGGTATGCTACAACAATTTACACCCAGACTATTGTCGTCATCTTTGTTGTTATTATCATAGAATTTCGCACTTTTTGCCATCCGGCCTTCTTCAAGCACTTGTTCAGGGTAACAGTTAAATACACTTACCTTTGAAAAAGGTATGAATACATCTCCTCCCCCAGCTATGGGTTAATTAGTAGGAATTGTATTTGGTATAAATTATTCTTATTCTAAAAAAAATTGTTAATCCAATATCCACTCGAAAAAAAATAAAAGAATTGTTATTATAAGCCAAAATATTTTTTTTTGTAAAGAAGAAAAAACAAAGAGGAAAGTTCATCAGAATAGTCACCATGAAAATATTTATAGAAAAACCCCAGGGAAGCTATGTTACGTCAGTAGAAAAATGACAAATGACAGCTCAGCACCGATGACATTGCAGATTCTTCTTTGGATTTTGACAAGTATCTCTAGATCAGTTAGTTATGTGCCATACGTGATACACGCTTAGGCGATCATATATCTTTCGATACATGACTGACGAGACAGATTTTTTTCCTACAGTAGGTTGCCGTTTCTTTCTGCGGTAGATTAGTTGCCATCCAAGGCTATAGAACTCAGTCTGTCCTGCTATTTACCCATAGCTGGGGGGGGGGAGAGAAGAAGAGTATTCATACCTTTCCCAAGGTATGAAATCTCTTGTCAGTTCATGGTTTCGACTAAAATTCGAATTAGTCTTTTCGATTCCTCAGTCCGAGCCGCTAACCATTACTTCACCGTATGCACATCAGAAACACCAGACTAGATGTGATAGCAATATGCAATACATGGATGAATGGTAGGCTTATAATCATGAAATAAAGAAGTGATTAATATTTGTTATTTTCCCCTCCCTTAGTCTCCCTGTCAACTCTCAAATTGAATGTGAAATTGTTAGTAAATAATAAATATTGCTGTAATTGTTTGACTAACAAGTAATCTCCTTATATTACAAAAGAAGTGACTTTCCGTTATACTCAACAGAAACGTAGATGGTATGTTTCTGTTCACGTCTATTTTCATCCAAGCTCTTAAAAGTCAGGCGTAAATTTGATACGAAAAAATAATTCTGTCAGGGTGTCCCCATAAGTCCAGGATGTAGACATAGCGTAACCGGATAAATGTACTCAGTCGTGCTTGAAAAAAAAATGGTTTAAATATATTTGGGTGGAGAAAAAACGAGTCTTAATTTGCAGTAAAGAACATCGCGACAAGAAAGATGTCTTCTTTGATAACGTCATTCTAAGCGTAAGGACTTACTTTTTACTGGCCTATCAAAATAATTTAAGCAAAATATACTCCAGATTTTCTCTTGTTAGAAAGAAAGAAAGAAAGAAAGAAAGAAAGAAAGAAAGAAAGAAAGAAAGAAAATGAGAAAGAGGGAAAAAGTAAGAAAGAAAATGAGAAAGTAAGAAAAAAGAAAGAAAGAAAGAAAATAAGAAACTAAGAAAAAGAAAGAAAGAAAGAAAGATAATGAGAAAAAGGGGAAAGAAAGAAAGAGACACAACATGAAAGAAAGAAAGAAAGAAAGAAAGAAAGAAAGAAAGAAAATGAGAAAGAGGGGAAAAGTAAGAAAGAAAATGAGAAAGTAAGAGAAAAGAAAAAAGAAAGAAAATAAGAAACTAAGAAAAAGAAAGAAAGAAAGAAAGAAAATGAGAAAAAGGGGAAAGTAAGAAAGAAAATAAAAAAGTAAAAGAAAGAAAGAAAGAAAGAAGGAAAAGGAGAAAGAGGAGAAAGTAAGAAAGAAAATGAGAAAGTAAGAGAAAAGAAAGAAAATAAGAAAGTAAGAAAAAGAAAGAAAGAAGGAAAATGAGAAAGAGGGGAAAGTAAGAAAGAAAATGAGAAAGTAAGAGAAAAGAAAGAAAATAAGAAAGTAAGAAAAAGAAAGAAAGAAGGAAAATGAGAAAGAGGGGAAAAGTAAGAAAGAAAATGAGAAAGTAAGAGAAAAGAAAAAAAGAAAGAAAATAAGAAACTAAGAAAAAGAAAGAAAGAAAGAAAGAAAGAAAGAAAGAAAGAAAGAAAATGAGAAAGAGGGGAAGTAAGAAAGAAAATGAGAAAGTAAGAGAAAAGAAAGAAAGAAAGAAAATAAGAAAGTAAGAAAAAGAAAGAAAGAAAGAAAATGAGAAAAAAGGGGAAAAGTAAGAAAGAAAATAAGAAAGTAAAAGAAAGAAAGAAGGAAAAGGAGAAAGAGGAGAAAGTAAGAAAGAAAATGAGAAAGTAAGAGAAAAGAAAGAAAATAAGAAAGTAAGAAAAAGAAAGAAAGAAGGAAAATGAGAAAGAGGGGAAAGTAAGAAAGAAAATGAGAAAGTAAGAGAAAAGAAAGAAAGAAAATAAGAAAGTAAGAAAAAGAAAGAAAATGAGAAAGAGAGAAAGAAAAATAAAAAAGGAATTAAAGAAATTTGAGAAAGAGTTTCAGAAAAAGAAAATGAGAAAGTATTGCAGTAATTTTTCTTTTACAAAAATCTATTTCTAGTAATATTTTTTCCTACAAAAATGTATTGCTGATAATATTTTTTCTTGAAAAATGTATTGCTGGTAATTTTTTTACTATGAAACTGTCTTGCTGGCACTTTTATTATAAAAATGTATTTCTAAACTTTCATAATGTTTTGACCCCTAGTTTAGGGGTTCAAAATTTGCCCATAGTTGGTATCATAACAGGTGCTACTACCCCGGGTCAGGGTGGACCTGAAAACAGCAGCAATTAAGAGGTGATTCCACGCTCCTCAAATCGTTCCGATCAGAAGACTTGCTACCGGATGTAGTTTATCGTCATACCCAGGACGATTTAAGTCTTTACTTGATTTCGAGATAGGTAGATACTGGTTATTTATATTTGCTTCTATAAACATTTATATATTTGGAGAATTTAATTGGTCCGGATATAAATAAATATTTAACGGGTTATATACGAGTTGATACGCATTTAATTGTTCGAGGATAGGTAAATATTGGTCATTTATATTTTATTCTATTGGTTCGGGAGGAAATAAATATTTACTTTAAACAAAGTGTTTTGTAGCTGGGTCAGACAAAGTAAAAATGTGTAAATACACTAACGTGCCAAATGTCATGGATCAGCAGTATGTAATGATAATGGTTGACTTCATGGAAATACTCAGACTTAAACTAGTTAATTCTTTGAGAAACTAGTGTCTCCGGAAAATTGGAAATTAAATTAATGAAGCTAAGTAGTATGCGGAGAAAAGTGAAAAATCACAATATCATACAAGCAAAACCTCCACAGAATAAATATCAGGGTTTCATAAAACAGTTTGAATCACATTGCAACCCTGAACACACTATACTTAAAATACCTTCAGAAATATGACGTATACCAATATCCACCTAAGTATTACAAAGTCCGTCTCCAAACATAATCAACAACGAACCTCGTGATGATGAAATTTTTAAAAAAACTATTAAAAAGCTAAGGAATAATAAAAACATCGCTTGACATTGATGCTGAACATAAAATAGCTTACTTTCTCAATAAAAAAAAAGTTTCTCTGTTTTATGAAAGAACTTGAAATGCACCCTCACAAAAGTGAGGTTTATCCCGCATTAATGCATTATGGAAACAGAAAGGTAGGCCTCAAGAGCCTCACGTACAGAGGTGTCTCAATTGGACCCATCATGGTAAAAGTATTAATGAACATTATATTGACTTGGCTTTCATCGTTTCACAAAATTCAACTCCTCGCTACCCAGTTTCGATTTCGTTCTGGTAAGGGATGCAATAGTGACATGTCTGCCATCAAACAACAAGAATAATAGGAAACAGTATATCTGATTTGTCGATCCTACAGAAGGATAAGAACACATCAATTAAGAATTCTTCTCCTCACAGAGTCTGTCTATATTTCTGAGATGAGGTATTATGTACATTATTTACATTATTCGGACTATTGTCCTCATCTTTCTCGCCATATTTATCACAACGTTTCGGCCGTTGTACGCTCCGGCCTTCTTCAGGTGGTTTATTTCGCTCACTGGGGTAGACTGTTCTAGTTCCACGTGCCATGTTTGATGGATGTCGGTTTTCTTCTGTTAATTTCCCTCTGAAAGTTCTCCACTGCCTTAACCGGATATTGAACTCACACTCTTTGTGTCCTGAATATGAATATATGTATGAATTTCTGGGTATTATAAACCTAATGTCTTCATCAACCATTTTTGCCAGTGCTCATATTGCAATTTTTGCTGTTATCATTGCATGTTTTTACCAGAGTTCATATAGCAACTTTGTTGTTATCATTGCTTTTCTCTGGCACTCCTTATTACTGGTTCCCTATTGTATTTATTTCTATGCTTGGTCGGCTCAGGAGATTTAACATCAGGACAACCTTCAAAACCTTGACGACACTTCGCAGATATCTCTCTCGAGTAAGACCCCCCATAGAGGATAATATGACTAAAGACTGTGTGTACGCTACCCCGTGCAGCTGCGGGAAGGAATATAAAGGAGAGACAGGCAGCCCCCTCAAGGTAAGGCTTCAAGAACACCAGAAAGCTGTAACAAGAGGGGAAGTAGAAAAATCAGGCGTGGCTGGTCACATATGGAGAGAGAAGGGAGATCACCGCCCCCTGTGGGATCAGGGTTAGATCATAGACAAGGAACACCATTGGAAAATTCGTAAACTTAAGGAATCAGCACATATGCTAGGCTACAAAAATCCCCTGAGCCGACCAAGCATAGAAATAAATACAATATGGGAACCAGTAATAAGGAGTGCAAGAGAAAAGCAATGATAGCAACAAAGTTAATATATGAACTCTGGTAAAAAAACATGCAATGATAACAGCAAAAATTGCAATAAAAAAACTGGTAAAAATGGTTGCTGAAGTCATTAGGTTTATAATACCCAGAAATATTCTCAAGGACACATGGCACAGTGGATAAAGGCATTGGTTAGATCCAGTGACAGGACCCAAAGAGTGTGAGTTCAATACCCGGTTAAGGCAGTGGAGAACTTTCAGAGGGAAATTAACAGGAGATAACTGACATCCATCAAACATGGCACGTGGAACAAGAACAGTCTACCCCAGTGAGCGAAATAAAGGGTTCAGTTCGACATTCTAACCACCTGAAGAAGGCCGGAGCGTACAACGGCCGAAACGTTGTGATAAATATGGCGACAAAGATGAGGACAATAGTCAGAATAATGTAAATAAATGTCTTCTCCTCACCTATTAGAAAGCACCTTCCAAGATCCGGAATACACTGAATGCATCGATCTAAAGAATCATACATGTCTTACATGTCTGGTAAAAATGGTTGCTGAAGTCATTAGGTTTATAATACCCAGAAATATTCTCAAGGACACATGGCACAGTGGATAAAGGCATTGGTTAGATCCAGGACCACAACACGGAAACATTTCAAACCTCGTCATGAGTACAACAAAGTGGAAATTAGTGCCCCAGTTTATTTAGTCTTTTCCAAAACATTTACAAACACAGATGTGATGAGATGGGCACTAACCATTCCATACTGCATCTCAAACGAATCTACCAATAAAAGATTATGATCCCGGTTTCCCTTCCGATGCCAGTGTACTGATAATGATGATAGGGGCTATGCTGATGACATAGGTATACATAGTTGGGATAAGAATGATTTTGAAGAGAAAATCAACATCATCTATCAAGTGTTCTAAGAAATAGGATTCAAGACGAACAGAAATTATGATCTGGAACTAGAAGGAAACCAGTGATGGCACCTACCCCGAATTCATCATAAAAAAAAAATGCGGAATTAGTAAATAAAAAAACACCTCAAATACCCCGGGGTATGGGTCAGTTGTAACAAATTTAGTCTAGGAGATAAGTAAATTGAATATAGTACAGGCTACCCGAGATGTAGTTTACTACAAAACCAAAACATCAACCTGAAAACTCGAGTCATGTTCTGAAATAGTCTCATCAGATCGAAACTTTTATCTGGATGTCGTGCATAGCACCAAACCCGTTCAGAAATATCTAAACGGTCAGCTGTAAAAGGCTTTTAGCTAGTGAAGTCTAAGATCTTTCTTCGTTGAACATTTTGGACTGGTGCTACAGAATTATAAACAAAGAGCTGTACCAAATAAATAAAACCAAAACATAAATAAAACCAAAACATCATAAACATAAATAAATAAACATAAATAAATAAACCTAATAAATATAAATAAACATAATAAATAAACATAAATAAATAAACCAAATAAATAAACCAAATAAATAAATAAACCAAAACATAAATAAAACCAAAACAAAAAATAAATAAAACCAAAACATCAACCTGAAAACTCGAGACATGTTCTGAAATAGCCTCGTCAGATCGAAACTTTTATCTGGATGTCGTGCATAGCACCAAACCCGTTCAGAAATATCTAAACGGTCAGCTGTAAATGGCTTTTAGCTAGTGAAGTCTAAGAGTCTTGGCAAAGATCTTTCTTCGTTGAACATTTTGGACTGGTGATACAGAATTACAAACAAAGAGCTGTACCAAATAAATAAAAGCACATCACTTGAGGACTACCAACAGCAGCAACAACTAAAATGGATAGCATATGTAACTCGAAGAGAAAATAATGGAATAATCAAGATGTTGGCGTTCCACACTGATTCAGATTAAAAAAAATCAGAAGGAAATCCTCCATCAATACTGGAAAGATGAGTAACAACTGCTGGACTTGAAAAACTTATTTTCATGAAAAATTGTTTGTAGAGAAAGATTTTGTGAAGTTCATCCGACAGCAGTACTGGCTGTTCGGTCAATGAATGCGAAATGTTTCCTTGTAGGGAAACTGCTAATATTATCATTAACATTAGCATTATCGTATCAGTTGTGTTCTGACTTCTAGGTGAGCCAGTATGAAGTTCGGCTAGTCTGCGCAGAGTAAGGTGACGTGAATTATTGCAGTTCGAGTGACAGACTAATGGAGATTCTTTTCTTGAATTCCTTGAGCTCTTCTTGAATATTTTCTTTCTAAATTGTCATGATAAAAGACTAAATTTTCTTTCTATTTTCAGTGCTCTTCTTGCTCGTAAACTTACCCGGACATTTATGCAGCAAAAAAGAGGTAACGTTTACATCACTTCTGGTTTTGTTTTTATTTAATCTCTTAATGTTAAACGTTCAACAAGCTAATATTTACTCGTCAGCGACAGAAGCAACCTAAAACGGGGCGTGGTCGTAGGGTCACTGTTCAGCTGAGACCAGCTCCCTCCATATGTTTGTTAACTGTTGGCTCTTGTGACACGGCCATACCATTTCAACTTCCTTGGGCACTTCGGCGTTGTGTAATAGCAAGCTTAACTGAATAGTGATTTCGATCCTCACTGGATGTCCCATACTTTAGGCCTCGTGACACATCTAAGCTACGCTTAGAAATTCCGTCATAACCTTTCAACTTTCTCTTTTTTGGCAGCGCCCATGACCTCTTTCATTTTGTCCTGCTTCTTGTTTTATGTCGTCTCGTACAGAGTTATTTGCGATGCGATCTACATAGAAGATGCCTACGATGCCTGTGTAGCATCTCATTTCTAATGACTGCGTTCTTCGCTCTAATTCTACTTGCCAATGTCAAAGATTCGCAGGCGTACAGAAAGACTGATAAGGCCGATGCACGCAACGGTCTGATCTTTTATCGCAGGCAGATGTCCTTGTCTTCCCAGATTGGTCATTAGCTTTGCAACAGCTGCTATTTTTTCAAGCCACTCTTGAAATTATTTCTGTTTTGGATCCGTTCTTACCATTCTCTAATGTATTAATTTAGATTCTTTCTTTATATCAGATTGAAGCCATTTTATCAGTTTAATTCGAGAGTAAGCCTTCCTCTTGAACAGGATCTATAGTTCATTCACTTTTGTAATAGAACCACAGATCCAGATCCAGAGCCTTCTGATTCCTAGGAGGAACCCCTCCCTGACTGACCATGTCTTCAGGGTGTAACCGTACTCACCACGGTTAGGAAATTGTGAGTTTGTGAGGCTATTTAAACCATAGAGGTTTTGAATTCAGAGTTGTCCTTCTCCTAGATAGGTAGCCACCCAAGACCCAGTTATTCTTGCTATTTACTGATAGTTGTGGGAGAAGAAATGGATTCGTACCTTTCCCAAGTTACTTACACGTAAGTGAACGTAACAAACTCTACCTGAATTCGAACTCTGCTCACCGATTCCTCAATCCGAGGCGCTATCCATTAATGCACAATTCGAATTGTATAACCATTTCTGGACATTCAATCTTCTTTGCTTGAAAAAAGATCAATATAAGACACAAGAGCCACTCAAGGTAGAGGGTTACTGAGTAATATTACTGTAAGTGAGGGGGGAAGAAAGAATAAAAAGGTGCGCATTATGAGGACATCTAAGATAGATATCGGTTGACACCGAATTTGAAGAGACTAAGATTGATTTTTACGGAGAAGCATCCTCATCGTCTCCAAAACGACATCGTTGCTCACACAGCCTTCTCTCTTTCCCTCTATTCGACCAGTGAGTATCATATTCTCCAAGCCCTCCTTTCTCATTACGTTTCCAGGAATTTCAGCTGCCTCTTTCTGATGTTAATTATAAGCTTCCTCCTTGTTAGCATCGTCTCTAAAACCTCATCGTTGCTCACACGCTCAGTTCATGATATCCTTAGCATCCTTCTGTCGAACCATACCTCTGTTGCCTCGAGTCTCTTCTTCATCTTTGAGGAGACCGTCCAACATTCGCTGCCGTAAAGGAGGACAGATGTCAACTAGCAGCTCAGTACTCTTTTCTTTGTTACTAAACTCTCTGTGTTTAACCCATTGAAACCCGAGACTTGACCGTTTTCTGTTGAACCTTAGCACAATAGAGATTGCTACTGCGGTTTTAATAACGAATAGATTTTCCGGCTGGAGTTCTTTTTTTTTTCTTTTTTCCCACTGAAATTTGCTTGGGAAATTTCCCACTCACCTTACCAGGTTTACGAAACTGTCACATTTTTCCCTAATGCTGGACTCTAAAATGTCCAAACGATAATTATTCTCGCTGAAAACCTTCCTAATAAATTCAATTTCTGAATCCTGTTCAGTATTCAAGCAACATGACGAAGGTCCGATAAACCAAGGACTTAAACAAATTAATTTTCAACTGTTTAAAACAGACTCATTGGTTGATTTGTTTTTTACAGTTTATCAACCCTTTGTGCGTTATTTAAAGCCAAAAGATATTTTGGATCGAATAAAACATTTTTAGAGTGAATATTACATTAACAATTTTTTGGCGATAACAATGATTTTTATAAAAGCAAGTCTTACTGTTTAACCCGTAACTGGAGAAGAAAATGAATTCATAACTTTCCTGGGGATATTTGCGCGCAAATGAATATAATAAATCCAACTGGGATTCGAACTCGTATCTCATGTTTTTCATTCTGTGTTACTATCCATTACACCACCCGCACATCCCACGTTCTTTGAAAACTTCCATATTTCATTTTGCTACCGCGCGATTTAACAATTTTTATTTTATCTTCAGTGCCCAAGGAAATTTCATGGAATCAGTGGACATACAGCGTGCATCCCGACCAGTCCCAATTTGTTGAATTCCGGTAAGCATAACTGAAATTACATTTTGACAGTCCTATCTCCTGTCATGAGATACAAGTTTCCATGATTTGCTAGCTCGAATTAATATTTTAGTATTCCCCAAAATAGAGTTTGTTTCAACACAAGACAAAATCCATGGAGAATTGTACGCGTTAGCAATGGCTCAGTATATACCATACGAAGTTAGAAATTGTTATTTTTCCGACAATCCACGTATTGTTTTTGGTACCAGACTAAATAACCTACCCACCAGATTTTTTGCAATTTATAAATTCAGATGTCAGTGTGGCGATGTATTCAGAAAGATTGGAGAGACACTGATCAAATAATATATATATATATATATATATATATATATATATATATATATATATATGTGTGTGTGTGTGTGTGTATATATGTATATGTATATAATTTTATATTTCGTGTATGATGTGGCCCCCTTTAAAATTTGCTTCAAAATTATGCAATCAAAAATAGAATGATACGCGAATATATCGTTAAAAACGAATCGAGTTCTCCCAGTCATATATATAATGATTAAAGATATCTTACTTGAATTCTCCGAGGGTTTTAAAACACTATTGGACTACTTTGAGCAAGAAGAATTTATCATAACTCTCCAAGCTGAACTGAAGAATCGTGATGAAATTGGCCATAAACGATAATGACATGTTCATCATTAATTAATCATAGATAAGGATCGGAAGCACATGAATGATCGAAATAAAGTCCATATATATATATATATTATTCCAGGATCAGTTTCCAACTAATTTAAGATGATCTTCGCCCTCTCTAACTTTTCAACTTTCTGTCCTGGAGTAACAAAATACCTCATACGTTTCACTTACGATATCATTTTCAAGTCTCTTTTCACTCTTTTCTTTGAACTGTCATTTCTTTCTTATATGAAAACCTGTAAAAAAAGAAACTCAAATGGTTTAGTGATTAATTAGATATTAAACATTTTGTGGGATGGACAATTATACTGTCTCACGGTAATGATAATTTTGCTATTTCACCCGCTATATATAGATATATATATATGTGTGTGCGTGCGTGCGTGCGTGTGCGCATTGTCAATAAATAAATAAAAGTTCAAAAATCTTATCTTGTGATCGACTTCAAGGTTTCGCAGACACGCCGCTGATCAAGGTCAGATCTATCTACTAAATTATTAACAGATATAGACTCCAAACTAATTTGAAATTTGTGCTGTGGTGAAGATCATTAAGGACTTTGAAGAAGCACACACACACACACACACACACACACACACACACACATATATATATATATATATATATATATATATATATATATATATATATGAATGCGTCTGTCTGATTTCACATCGTTGTAAGCTCCAGCGGTGATATGCATTTTGAATTTCGGACCGAACCCTTTATTTAGTCAACAGTGGTAGATTGTTCTCGTTCCACGTGTCCATGCCTTATCTGGGTGTCTCAGTTTCAAGCATTTCCTTTTAGTAAATGAACTCTCCAAGTCAGGTTTTTTTCACCTCTACTGTGGCCAGGTATTGAACTCACAATTCTTTGGCTCAAATCACTGGATTACTCCAACCAACGCTTTTATCCACTGCGCCATGTATCCCCAAGGACAACCTATATCACCTGGAGAAGGACGGAGCGTAAAACAGCTGAAACGTCGTGAATATAACAATAAATATGGAACAACAATCCGAACAATATAAAATATATATCCCTA